TTATATATATATATTTATAATATATATATAATATATATTTATAATATATATAAATATATATATTTATATTTAGGGTGTTTCTCTAAATGCAGCAGAGTTATATTATAATTATTACAAATAAAACTAAAAAAGTAGATAAGCAGATTACACATGAATATAAACAAATCTATTTATGTATATAATATACATTATATATATAGTATACATATAATATGTAATATATTATTATTATTACTATTACTATTACTATTATTATTATTATTTATTTTATTAGTTTTATGCAGCAGCACCAGCAGCATGCTATACAAACCCTAAACAGCCTCAACCCTAACACCACAATAAACCCTAAACCCTAAAACCCTAAACCCTAAACTCTGATTAGCCCTATCTACGCGGGTATTTACACGCACATACATTCACAAACCCTAAACCCTAAACCCTAAACCCTAATCCGAGCTAAACGCTCTGTGAGGGTTTATGAATAATGCATGCAAATTGTATATTCTGAGGAGACAGCACCACTAATATATAATTATAAACAAATTAAATAAATAAAACAGCAGGGAAATGGTTATTAATATATTATTATAAACAAAATAAACAAATAAAACAACAAAGACAGACGCAGCAACAAATTCAACAGCAGAGACACTGCAGGTATATCCATAGAAAAATATTTCTTATAATTTATATCTTTCTTGTGCATGCTTGAATCACAGATATAAATAAAACAGTTGTTTTATATCTTTAAAGTTATTTTACATGGTATTCAATTGGAGGAGAGGATGTTTATAGAAAATGCAAACGAAAAAGATATTAACATAAGCCGCTTTATGTTATATTCATAATAGAGGAAGCCTGGGGTGTATATGCAGATTTTTTCTGTGAATTGAGTATAATCAGTTGTTATTTATTTATTATTGATGCATTTAAAATATTCAAATGAAAAGAAAGCAAAAGAAAGCAAAGAAAAGAAAAACAGCTGCAAACTTCTTAACTTAGATCAGACCAGCAGCTGCAACAGCAGCAGCAGCAGCAGCAGCGGCAGCAGCAGCAGAAGTTGCTGCTGCATTTTCACCGAATATATATCATTTTTGTTTGTTGTTTGTTTATTTTTGCTTTTGTTTTACTTCTTTTATTATATTTTACAGCTTAATCTTTTCTCTTATTCTCTTATAGAGCTGTACATACACCTCAGAGGTACTAGCGGCGATGCCTTTGCAGATCTTCATCGACAGAATCTGCTCGTTAATGTAAGCAAAAGTAGAATAAAAAGAAAAACTAATCTGATAATAATATTTAAATTAAAAATATATTAATTTTAATACATTATTCAGCTTTTTTAAATTTAATTTTCATACATTTTTGTTGTTTTCTCGCTGCTTCTCTGCGTGGTCACCGCTCCGCTTTCCCCTGCTCTTTCTCTTGAATATTTTTCTTGTTTTTTCTGCTGAAATATAAAATTAAAATTTTGCTTCTGCTGTATATCTCTGTTTGTTTGGTCTATTATATTATTATTCTCTTACTTTTATATGCATATTACTCTGTTATAAGCAATAAAGAAGGGCTATACATACAACGGGCAGTCGGCTCGTTATACACCGCACACTCTGTGTCTTTATTGTTTGTCTTTCCTTTTTTTTGTAACAATAAACATAATAATAACAATAATATTATTATTATTTTTATTTTTATTGTTGTTTTCACTCCTTAAAGTAATATAATACCTCATGCCTTCCCCCGCTCTCTGCACGCCAGACAGATACTGCTTGTTTCTGCCTCGTGTATAACCACACCGCAGCAGCAGCAGCAGCAGCAGCAACAGTAGCAGTAGAGGCAGCAGCAGTAGCAGTAGTAGCAGCATTAGCAGCAGTAGCAGCAGCAGTAGCAGCAGTAGCAGTAGCAGCAGCAGCAGTAGCGCCAGCAGCAGTAGCAGCAGCAGCAGCAGCAGCAGATCACGGTGATGTTTCTTCTGTAGCTTATTTTGTTGCTTTGTTTGCGTTGATTTGTTTTCCTTCAGGTGGAGAAGCTGCTGCTCTTCACGGTAGCAGCAGCAGAAATAAAATATATAATAAATTGAAACACATTATTTATTTATAGAGCAGAGGTAAAAAGAAAGAAAAACAGAAGAAAGAAGCATAGTGTCCCGCTCAATAGCACATCAATATATTATTATTATTATTATTATTATTATTATTATTATTATTATTTTATATTATTATTATATATAATTAATCTTTTTATTATTATAATAATTATTCTATTTAAACATTTATTGCTATTTACTAAGAAGATGACTCAACATAACAAACCGCGTTTGCTTCGCACACGCGAGCTGCTGCAGCAGCTGCTGTGGAGACAGCTGCAGCAGCAGCAGCAGCAGCAGGAAGAGGAAGAGCAGCAGCAGCAACAGCAGCAGGAAGTGGAGGAGCAGCAGCAAGAGGAAGCGGAAGAAGAGCAGCAACAGCAGCAGGAGGAGGATGAACAGCAGGACGATGTGCAGCAGCTTCAGCTCTTGCTGCAGCAGCCTCAAGCACTTCAGCAGCAGCAGCTGCAGCACCAGCTGGAGCAGCTGCAGCATCAGCAGCACCAGCTTCAGCAGCAGCAGCTGCAGCAGCTGCAGCAGCTGCAGCAGCAGCAGCAGCATAAAGAGAGGAGCCAGCCTTGGTGGGCGAAGGAGCAGCTAGAATCTTCTGAAGTAAACGAAGCTGTTCTTTTGCTGCATGAAAACAACAACAGAGTTAGCTTCCCCTCCGACAGGATGTTTCTATATTCTTTTGTGCCGCCTGTGAAGGTCTTGCTGCTGCTGCTGCTGGTACCGTCTGCAGCAGCAGCTGCATGCGTCTTGAAAGGGATAGGAGGGCTGCTGCTGCTCTTGCTGCACCAGCTAGCTGTTGCTGTAGGGGTTGTCTTTACCCTGGGGCCTTTTGCTGCTGCTGCTGCTTGCAGTTCGAGTCTTGCTGCTGCTCTGCTGCAGCTTCTTGCTGCTGCTGCAGCACTTGCTGCTGCTACGCACTGTCTCCTAGCCCGCTTCCCTCTGATGCCTGGCTGGCAGCTGCAGCAGCAGAAGCAGCAGAAGCAACAGCAGCAGAAGCAGGAGCTGCAGCAGCAGCTGAAGCTGTTGCAGTCTCCTGCTTCTCCTCTTAACAAGGAGCAGCTGCTGCTAGCTGCAGATACACCTCAGCAAAACCATTTGTTCACGAGCTGCCCCTGCTTAAATAGAGCAGCAGCAAGAAATAAACAACAGACGCGAAGCCAGCAGCAACATCAAAGAAAGCATC